TGATCCCGATCGTACATTAAGCGCGACCTCAGAGCCTCAGCTACATCATCCACCAATTTATTCCTTTTTTCTAAATCCATGTTGGTAAACTGAGCAGCTTTGAATTCTTCGGCAACTTGAAGATCACCAATGGATCTTCTAGAGTCGTCTTCGTCGAAATCCTCAGCTTCCGTAGGATTGGAGAGATATTGTATCAGACTAGCTCGTTCGTCTCGAAGCATTCTAGTAATTTCTGCTATGCGCTGTTCTTCTAGGTCGCGCTCTCGCTGTTGCTCTCGTCCTCGCTGTACTTCGGCTTCCATGTTGAATTCCAGCGCGAGTGCCTCGTCTCCTAATCTATACCTAATACGCTCAGTTGCTTCTCCGGAGTATTGCCATCCATCCCAAAACCTGCAAAACAAAATTAGGTATGTCAAAATCGAGAAAGCTGACCATCTTCTTCCGGACGCCAAACTAGCACTCCGCCATTCCCCTATCGAAGAGGCGTATCTCCAAGATACGGCTTCAATAAATGGCAGCGTATTTTCGTTAGTGTGAGGAGAGTGAGCAACCGTAACCAAGTTGTTGAGTAACTCATCAACGTCCCTTCGAGCTCTCCATATAGTATATGCTTCATTCTAGGTAAAAGTTGGTTGAATCAATTCTCATTGTAATAAAAATCCTCACCTGCGCGTCTTTCGACAGTCTCGCAATGCCTTCCAAGACTATAAGCTGGAAAACCATGTATCTATAGAACTTCAAGGACTTTATCACGTGCAGGAACGCTGCTGCTTTTAGACGATCTTTTCGAGCAAAATTACCGGATAGGAATATTTCCTGTAGAGCCACCCAAACATACTTGTACATTCTCAAGAAACTGCGTATGGCAACTGCAATGAACAGAAGTAGAAGCGAAAGTAAAAGAATGCACTTACCTTCTTCTGATGAAGCCCAGCGTACGGTAATAACCCGTTTCAGGTTGATGAAGTGCTCCGTGGACATGGTACTGTGCGCTGCGAGTAGCACTCGTCGTCGTGAAGGAGCTGTGAAAAAAACTCGAAGCTTGTTGAGAAACATCGTTGCGAACTTCCTCCATTGTGCGAGATTCTGATCTCCTCCACCAGTAAATGCGTCTTTCAACGCGAGCTCAATCTTGTGAGCCATGCAATGTATCCAGATCACTGGCTCTTCGGGGACAGCGTCTAACTCAGCACGTGTAGCACCTCGGCTCATCATACTATCCTTGCGTGACTGTGACACATTTCGATTGAGTAAGCCGCGAAGTCCTCCTACCGAACCACTCATTACACTGGCCCCATCAGTTGCCACTGCTACAAGATTCCATGTATACTCGTTAAGCAATCCTGAGCGTTCGAAATACGAATAGATTACGTCAAAAAGGTATTGAGCAGTTTCTGACTCCTTTAGTTCTATCGCTTCGAGGAAGTGTGTCGTTGGATGCAGCGATATCCGATCGGGAAAGCGGACGAAGAGAAGCAATACTTGCTTGCTATCGGGATCCGTAGTGGTGTCAGCCAGCAACGAAAATGGAGACTGGTTCACTCTGATGTAATTAATCAGCGTTTGTCTCATATTATTGGCGATAAAAGAGGTCATTCTAACGAAACCCTCTCGAGTATGGTGTCTCTTCCCTATATCCACCCCCATTTCGGATATGACCTTGCATAGAGTCGGAAACTGGTATGGAGGTAAATACATTTTTGCTGCAGTATAGGCTATTAGGAAGAGGCGGCTTCCTGCTGCGTTGGGGTCTGTAGGGGCTTTGTCCACGGCTTCAAGGTATTTGTTGACTCTC